ATTTGGTCCTGCCATGAGGGCAGGGGACTGGACTCTATGACCTCTCGAGGTCCCTTCCAGTCCTAGAATCTATGAATCATGTGATCTGTAGAAATCAATGGCAAAATTCAATCCTGCTCACAATGGAGTAAATGTGAGCCCTAAGGGAGGGAGAGAAAGTGCTTGCCTCCGCTCTTTCTTCCTATCTTTTAACAGCACTATAGCATACAGAAAACTGTGTTGTTTGTTTAAAGTTTTCAGCCTTTACTGTGCTTCTCCTGCTGGTAGTCATTTCCCCCCAATTACAGTTCACTTTCTTGTGCAGCAGCAATGGAATCAACATCTCAGCACAGCTGAATGAGCAGATAAGTTACCATGGAGGCTGCCCAGTCAGTAGAAACAAAGTGGGATGAGGCAGAGAAGAGTAGCAGTTTAGGATCTGAACTCACCAACCTAGACAAAGCTGTAATTTTTCACTGGCACTATTGCAAAATACAATTTGCATTTGGGCAGTTGTATTTTCTCAACATGAAAGATCACTGTCTTTGGGCATCAACACGAGAAACTTTAATATCCATGCTGACAATCACTTCAACTATAGTGCCTTGTCTCAGATTTGAAGTTCTCGTACATACTCTCGATCTCTTATAAACTATCCATCTTCCCACTTTGACCTCTCTGTCAAATGCCTTTTATCTTGGAAAACATTTGAACATAAAGCCTCTAATTGGGCTCACATCAGTTCTACAGCTAGCAGCATCAGTCTATTTAGCTGATGGCTGACACTGTTTGTCACACTAACAGCATGGCAGGCCCTTCCCTCAGCTGTTTAAAATAATAGCCTCCCATTATGATGTAAAGCTGGCTTAACATTGGTGTAAAGAATTTTTAGATGTTTAAAAACTAAAACATTAATAAAATACTTAAAAGTTAGCTTTCTGGGTTTTTTGTTTGTTTGTTTTTTAAAGCAGGCTGGCCATTTGCTCAGAAACATTAAATAATGGTCTACATGAAATTATATAAGTTGGGTGCACAACTGGTTGAAAGACTGTACTCAAAAAGTAGTTATCAATGGTTTGCTGTCAAATTGGGAGGGTTTATCTAGTGTGGTCCCACAGGAGTCAGTCCTTGGTCCGGTACTAATCAATATTTTCATTAATGACTTGGATA